ACAACCCTAACTGCAGGTAAGCAATTTCTTTCATTCATTCAGGTTATATTGGGGTCACATTTGGTCATGTTGTGTCCAGTTGTCGCAGTTTATTTTGTGACTGTGACCTGACTATACATAATTCCTTACTTATTTAGGCCTTGTAAATGTGTGAGGAGTTAGAAGCATTATTGATCACAAACAGGGTATTTTAATAACAAATTGTTGCATACATTTTTTTTGCAAAATAATTATCTTTTTATACATGAAAACATACTTAAGCATAAGAATGATCAATTAAACTGAGTAGTATTTTAAATTGACTTTTAACTTTTAATTGACTAAATTAACTTTTTTTTTTAAATGTCACAATATCTTGTGCAGATATTTTTCCAGAAAACAATACAAACATTAAGAACAAGAAGAAATGTATCAAGAACAAATTGACAACATGACATTTTGTGTAGAAGATGGGCTGATTGATTATGATAGTGGATAGTCACAGTTAAATTCATTGGGATTCTCTCTGTCCATGGCCCAGTGAGCAAGTAAATCACTGAAGTCTGGGGTGCTTGAGCTACTGAGAGTCCCTGAGATACTGGAGCTGGTCATGGTGCAAACGCTCGAGTTACTGAACATGCTCAATGACGTGTTGATGTTAATGGAGCTCTCTGATGTGTTGATCATACTGCGCGAGTTATCTTGCATGCTTGTATCACCTAACATGTCAAGTTGTTGTGCGAAAGGCTCTGTCCAGAAGCTGACTGGCAGGCGACGTTGGCTCATGGGTAAACCCCGCCCTTTCCTTTGAGCGTCTTGAAAGAGCTCTGCAAGGGGCCCGAGCGACTCAGGCTCCTCCCCCTGCCCTGATGATGCTACTTTGATGAAGTCGGCATAGTATCGCTGGCGGCCCCCGACTTTCGGACATGGTTTCTCTGCATAAATGTCACAGGCATCAGGGTCTTGGCTTCGCCCGAAGTAGCGCTGGACATCGCTGCTAATGAGTTCAGCAAACCGCAGGAGCTGATTGGTCATCTCAGCGTTATTGGGGTACGAATCAAAACTCCATGGCTCTTCCTCTTGAGACTCACTGGCTAATGCATCCTCTTCCTCCTCCAAACTGTCCTCTCTCAGCTCCTCTTCATATTCTTCTTCAGTCTCCTCCTCATCCTCAGCCGGAAAGAAGCAAGGAGGAAAGGGTTTCGCCAAACCCAGATTACTCAGTGTCCTGATAACACTTGCTGCCATCCTATGAAGGAAATTGTAGGTATATAGAAATATAAATATACACCAGGTGGGGCAAGATGTCACAAGTAAAGGGCTATATCTCAGTAATACTGTATGGTTGGTTCATTTTTTTTTAATAAATGCCAGATTGGGGAAAGTAGTAACCTAACATTTAGATTGGTAATCTTACACAATTTATTACCTGATTTATTTATTTACAACAATAATAATAATAATTATTATTATTATTATTATTATTAAAAATGGTTGCCCAACAACTTTACAATAAATTGCATAAGATCACTGATACAAATTATATTTCACAGGTTTTTATTACAGAAAAATTATAAGAAAGAAAGAAAGAAAGAAAGAAATGTGTTCTTTAAAAACTCACAGAATATAGGCTATATCTGTGTGTGTGTGTGTGTGTGCCTGGTATTTATTACGTTATGGGGACCAAATGTCCCATGTCCCAGGACATTTTTGAGGTCCCCATGAGGAAACAAGCTTATAAATCATACAGAATGAGTTTTTTTGAGAAAGTAAAAATGCACAAAGTTTCCTGTAAGGGGTAGGTTTAGGGGTAGGGTTGGTGTAGGGCAATAGCACATACAGTTTGTACAGTATAAAAACCATTACGCCTATGGAATGTCCCCATAAAACATGGAAACACAACGTGTGTGTGTGTGAGAGAGAGAGAGTGTGTG